TGTATGCATTGATGGTGGGAAGTCTTATGAATACCATGATTATTACAAGACCAGACATTGCACAAACAGTGTGAGTGGTTAGTAGATCAATGACAAATTTTGGTGGAGAGCATGAGTATTATTAAGAGAATTCTTATCAAAGGAACCTTGGATGTTGTATTATGTTTCAGAGGATCAAAATTAGTTGTCAGATGGTATGTTTATTTAGGTTTTGCAGGTGATCTTGATGAGTTTACCTTTGTTGGAGAGGCAATAACTGATTATCTAAGTTATAGGATGTTGTAGTTCTTTCTATTACAGAAGTTGAGTATATGGAAGCCACCCAGGCATGTAATGGAGGAACTCGGGCACAAGCAGCGACAAATTGTTATGTATTGTGACAATCAGAGTGTCTTGCACATTTTAAGGAATCCTGCCTCATATTTCAGGATAAATCAAGAAGAACCTAACAGATATTATGACAATCGGTTACTAGTGAAAAATTTACATAGAGGCGATCCTATGCAATAACAACATGGAAGCCAGTAATAATGTGATTTGATTAATTTAATCAAAATCTTCAAGTAAGAGATTATGAGAATGTGAGAAGAGAAGTCCCACATCAAGGAAATTATATGTTTGTGCTTACTTTTCTTATTATAAAAGGAGGAGCACAATGTTTACTTTGTAAATCGTCCCAAATATTTTCTTTCTTCTTTCTACTAGTGCATTGCATAAAAGTTGAGTATTCTTTTATTTTTGCAAGAGAATATTATTATGGTTTTTTCCTTAGATTTAAAGAGGGTATTATAATTTCTTCCGGTAGTAAAATTTTATTATTGCCTATTGTTTATTTTGTTTCTTTTTTCTCATCTTTTATTTTAGTTGTGAGTTCTTATGCAGTTACCCTGATTCCTAACATATCAGTCCTCTACTCTTATTGATCAGTCATCTTCTACTGATCAACCATCACCATTTACATCAACTGGATCATCTTCTTCTCCAGGTATCCGTTATTTGCACATTCTCTTTCTTATAAACATCTTTCAAATGTCGAAGCCTCCAAACATGATTGTTGGATTAAAGCTATGCAAGTTGATATAATTGCTCTCGAAGCAAATAACACTTGGTCTCTTACCACTCTTCCTCCCCATAAAACAACCATTGGATGTGATTGAATATATAAGATTAAACACAATGTTGATGGTTCCATTGAGAGATATAAAACTCTTGCTGCCAAAGGTTACACCCAAATGGAAAGCTTTGACTTGCACGTTATCTCCTGTTGTTAAGTTTACGACCACTTGTCTTGTCCTTGCACGTATTATCATTCATCATTGGCACCTCAAACAATTAGATGTCAACAATGTTTTCCTTCATAGTGATCTTAATGAAGAAATCTATATGCAACTGCCATCAAACTTGACTGCTTCTCATCCCGGTCATGTCTGTTGGCTCTAACATTCTCTCTATGGCCTTAAGTAGGCCAACTGATAGTGGTTTGTGCAACTCTTCTCATTTATCTTATCCAATGGTTAAGAAAAGTTACCATCTGATCATTTTCTTTTTCTGAAGAAATTAGGTTCCACAATGACCATTCTCCTCATTTATGTGGATGACATTGTTCTAGCAGGAAATAATATTGTGAAAATTACTTAAATCACCTCTCTACTTGACTTTCTGCCTTCAAGATTAAGAACTTTGGTGATTTGCGATTCTTCTTGGACCTCGAAGTTGCCCACAACCCTTCTGGCATACACCTATGTCAACTTAAATATACCCTTGATCTTCTTTTTTTACAATTGTTTGCTTGCCTCTCGACCAACATCTACACCCATGGATTACTCCAATCGTTACATGCTATCACTGGTACAACACTGTCTGATCCTTCTGTATATCGTCGACTGATTGGACAACTCATTTATCATACCACTACATGTCTAGACATTGCTTTTGTTGTATAACACCTTTTTGGGTTTTACGTTATCTAAAGCAATGTCCAGGTTCTGGCGTTTTTCTCGCGGCTTTCAGTACCTCCCAGCTCAAGGTTTTCAGCGACTTTGATTGGGCTGGGTACCTGAATCATGATGTTCTATTACCAATTTCTCCATTTACCTTGGTAACTCATCTCCTGACACTCCAAGAAGTAACCGATGATCTCACGCAACTCTTCTGAAGTTGAATACACTACTTGTGCAATTTAGTGGTTGACATATCTATTAAATGATATTGGTGTTCTTTTCACACGTCAAGCTTTGATGTATTGTGACAACCAATCTGCACTTCAAATTGTTTCCAACCAATTTTTCCTCCATGGACATACTAAAAACATTGATATAGACTGTCATATTATCTATTCGAGAAAGAGTCATTGATAGTTTGATTAAGTTGCTACCAGTCTCTTCTTCCTCACATATTAGTGACATCCTCACAAAATCTCTTTCTCTTGTTATGTTTTAAAATGTCTAATCCAAGTTAGGCATGACCAATATCCATGCCCAACTTGATGGGAACTCTTAATCCTATCATATCTGCAACAGAATCATATTTTCTGTAGCAATACGTCCACATTTCTTCTATTTTTTTGTTGTAACTATTTTTTTATTTTTTGCTTTAACTTTATTATTACTATAAATATGTATTATCTTACCCTCCAAGTTATTCTTCGCTTTAACTTTATTATTACTATAAATATGTATCATTTCACCCTGAAAACTATAAGATTTTGTTTTTGGTCATTACATTTTATTGGATATGTTTCTTTCCTCTTCCTTTTTTTTGCTTTATGAGTTTTGGCATGGTAATGTACACAAATTACATTTGGTCTATATGTTTATTATGATATAGTAAAATATTTTTATTTTGCTTATTGTACAAATATTAAAAAATAAATAGATATTAAAATATGTAGAAAATTTTAAAACTAAATTAAAAGAGAAAAAAAACATAATCTAAACTAAATCATATTTATTATTTATTATCTATTATATAAAAAAATTGTCCTGACCATTCATTTTCATATGAAACGTGATAAAATTTATGTATCATAAATAATTTTTTTATTATATTTATTAACTAATCCATTGAATCTTGAATGTGATGTGACCTGATTTTATCATTTGATTATAATTTTTATGATTTTTTTAATAATTATATATAATAATTGAATGTTTGGCTATTTTTGTCACCTAATAACGTAGTATTTCTAAGGGTTGGGCTCTTCGCTACTCGAGCTGGATTAGATTGTGATGAGATAATTTGGTCTATATCCGATGTCAAAGTAAGAGCACTGAGGATATTTTCTTAATACTATAAGAGAACTCAGAAGAATGGACCTCTAATATTTTAGTTATCTGTCCATAGTAAACACTGAGTATCAAGTACGGAACAGACAATTACTAAAAATATTAAGTAGTGAACCCATTTTAAGATAAGGATTCTTATCTCGTATATCTTATTGAGAGTTGAGGATGGGGCTAACCTGCCAAAGTTTTGTAATTTTCATATAATTTATATATGATTTTGACCCCTAAACATAATGAACATTTAATATATTTACTTGTATATTTACAATTTTATCCTCTTAGCCCTTCCTCAATTTTGTAACTCTCATATAATTTAAGATTTTGTTTTCCTCAAACTTAATTATCATTTAATATATTTAAGTATATATCTACAATTTTATCTTTTCAACCTTTCATATTCTTTCTTCCTTTTATATTTATTTATTATTTATTAATAATATATTATTTGACCCTCTAAGATCAATAGTGAAGATCTGTCACTCGCTCTTATTTCAACTTCCTCAAAAGTTCCTATTGTTATCATAATTTTAAAATGATTTACCGATAACAATTATTGATTAATTGATTATTTACATGTTAAAATATAAAAGATAGTCATTATATTATTTATTTGGATTTATAATAATAAATATTTTTTTCAATTAATGATTCTATTAATATCAAATAATAAATATTTTATTCTACTAGCACTTAAATAATGAACAAAATATATCTAAATATTTTAATCACGGTGAGTTAATGTTTAATACTACATGCATTATTCTACCAACATGTAATTAGGGATGACAAAACGGGCTAGGCCCGGCGGACCAGCCCGCCATAATATGGCGGGACGGGTTGGTGTTTTCAGCCCACCAGTCGCTTTGGCCGCCTGTCAAGCCCGCTAACCCGTCGAGCCAACCCGCCAGACAGGGCGGGCTAGCCGCGACACGCCTAATTAATAAAAAAATAATTTTTTATTGTAATAAAATTAATTATAAAGATAATATATAAAGTTAAAATTTTTAAAAAGAGAATTAAAAAAGTTTTATTCTCACATAAAATATTCTCCTTCCTGAAACATAACCTTCTCTTGTGTTCTCCTTGTTTATCCTAAGCATTGATTATTTTTATCCTTATTACTTGAATTAATGGTGTAAGAATTACTCAACCAAGAATAATATGAAGTTTTATCAAATAAAAAAGATATAGGTATTTGAATTTTTTAATATAAAAAATATAAATTTTATAAGTTTAACGTTATTTATATATATATATATATATATATATATATATATTTGTTATTATTTATTATTATGTAAATTTTATTATTGTTCTAAATTATAATTTCTTAAAATAATGTATTGATTTATATTATTAAATTGAAATAATATATATATATATATATATATATTGAATTATTGACAAATAAATAATAATTTTATTATTAAATTCATTAAAAAAATTATTTTAACAAAAATATTTTTTCTAAATTATAGCGGGTCAGCACTAACCCACCCTCGACAGTAGTGGCCAAGATTTACTGACCATCATGACTATATCGGGTCAGCCCGCCCCACCCCACTTTTGGCGGACCAAAGGCGGGGCGGGCTGACCGTTTTGTCATCCCTACCAGTAATAGTAAACTTAAAACCTTACTATCCCAAAAAAGTAATATTATTCTATTGCAAATAATGCTGCCTTCCAAAATCTTCATTGCAAATAATATCGTCTGAAATGATGGAAGGTATGAAAATTATAATTGCTAAGTTTTTTTTTTCTCGCTTTTTTTCATTTACTTTGTTAATTATAAAATGTACAGTGACATTCAAAATTCCTTTTAAATTCAAAATCAATATTGACATTATGTTAGGCATCATGAGCCAAGGGAATGGTTCAGAATTCAAGTAGGATAAGTTTCTCAATTTGTTGACTTATCTCTTTATCTGTCATTTAGTTCTGAATGCACCATGATTTGAGGATTTTCATTCTTTCTTATCACTGTTGTTGTTAAGAGGGGACAGAACAAGAATTTTGAATTGGCATGCTTGAAAAGGAACTATAAACAGTACAATTATAATATGAAGATGGATGAAGTGACGATTATAAAGAAGATCTCTGTTTCAATCTAATTGGTGATTTTCAATTTTTATCGTTTAATGGTGTCTAGTAATGTGTATGGTCAAACTCGTGATCAAGATACTCAAACTTGAAAGGGCTGCCACATATGTTGCTGTTTGCTACTTTGTAACTGTTGACTCAACCTCACCATCCCCCTTGGGCCTTCCACCGAATTATTCCTTGTTTCTTTTTTCAAACCATATCAAATCTCACCGTTTCATTCATGATCATGTTCTGTGAATGAAGTCCCCATTCTTGTTTCTTCTTTCTCTTTATGAACACAGCAAAAGGCCATTTCAGTGCTGGGTATCAGGATGGATCCCAACTTTCCTGTAGTTGACCTGTTTGATGAAGAGGAGGGCATATCATATCCCTCAGACTCACTTGGTTTTGCAACTATGGACCCTTCGCTGGAAGACAACGACTTCTCAGAAACTGCCAAGTTCATAAACCAGATCCTCATGGAAGAGAACGTTCAACAAAATCCATTCTATGACTCACTCACCTTGCAGGTTACCGAGAAGTCCTTCTACGATGCTCTCATTGGGAACCTACCTCTTTCCCCCAATCAACATGCCCTTGCTCTCAGCCCCGAAGGTGAAACTACCACCAGCAATTACAACAACAGTTCTTCAGATGAAAATTTCCCTTCCCCAGATTTTGTTTCTGTTTCTGCTTCTGCTTTTCAGTTTAACCCCCAGACCCTTTCTCAACCACCTTCATTTACTGTTAGTCATGGATTCTCAGATTTGGATTCTTCTATTGCCAAATTCTTGGCACAGAATATGTTCAATGATGCTGATTCTGTTTCCCAGTTTAGGAGGGGCTTAGAGGAAGCTACCAAGTTTCTTCCTTCTGGCCCTATGCTTGTAACTGGTCTGCAATCAAACGGGGAAGAATCAATCAATACGTTTGGAGATAATTCCTGCGGATGGAAAAGCAGGAAGAATCACGAGCGCGAAGAGAGAAATACCATAGAAGAAGGGAGAAGTAGTAAGCAATCAGCACTTAGCCTTGTTGATGAGAGTGACATTTCAGATGCTATTGATCAGGTGTTTCTAACGGTGGAAAACGTGTGTAGTAAACACAATTCTTTGCAGAGTGGAGCAGTGAAAGATAAGGAGCGAGATGGAGGGAAGGGGCGATCAAAGAAACAAGGGACGAAGAAGGAGACTGTGGATTTGAGGAATCTTCTGCTGATGTGTGCACAATCTGTGTATGCCAATGACAGCAGAGCTGCCACTGAATTACTAAAGCAGATTAGGCAACACTCGTCTCCCTTTGGGGATGCATCACAGAGGGTAGCTCATTATTTCGCCAATGGTCTTGATGCTCGCTTGGTTGGGGCTGGTTCAGGTGCTCATGGAATATTTTCTTTTCTGAGCTCTAAGAGGATTACTGCTGCTGAGTTCCTGAAGGCTTACCAAGTTTTTCTATCTTCCACCCCTTTCAAGAAGTTTACATATTTCTTTGCAAATAAAATGATTATGAAAGCAGCTGCAAAATCAGAAACAATCCATATTATTGATTTTGGCATCCTATATGGTTTCCAGTGGCCAATTCTCATAAACTTTTTATCAAAGAGAGATGGTGGTCCTCCCAAGCTGAGGATCACAGGGATAGAGTTTCCCCAACCTGGCTTTCGTCCCACTGAAAAAAATGAGGAGACCGGTCACCGTCTAGCTAACTATTGTCAGCGTTACAAAGTTCCCTTTGAATATCATGCCATAGCATCAAGGAACTGGGAAACCATTCAGGTGGAAGCCCTTAAAATTGAGAGCAACGAGATAGTTGTTGTCAATTGTCACATGAGGTTTGAACATTTACTGGATGAGAGCACTGTTGAAGTGAACAGTCCTAGAAATGCAGTCCTACATTTGATCAGGAAGATAAATCCGGACATTTTTACGCACATCATTATCAATGGATCATATGATGCCCCTTTCTTTACCACACGGTTTAGGGAGGCACTGTTCCACTATTCTGCTATCTATGATATGTTTGACATTGTCATACCTCGTGAAAACGATTGGAGATTGACGATTGAGGGAGAGATTTTGGGTCGGGAAGCTATGAATGTTATAGCATGTGAAGGTTCTGACAGGGTTCACAGACCTGAGACATACAAACAATGGCAAGTTCGAAATACAAGGGCTGGTTTCAAGCAGCTCCCACTGGATGAGGACTTATTGGCCAAATTCAGGATTAAGTTAAAGGAATATCACAGAGACTTTGTCTTCGATGAAGATAACAACTGGATGCTTCAAGGGTGGAAGGGGCGCATTTTCAATGCTTCTACTTGTTGGGTACCAGCATAATGAGATGCTACTGGACTCCTGGACTTGGTTCAGAACTCATACTAAAGGTATGATTCTAGAATCAATAATTGACTCTTACTCTATCCACTTTTAAATTTCTTATTTCCCTGTTAAAATCTGTAACTTATAATCCTACTAGACGTCATATGGTTGTTTCAGAGATTTTAGCATGCATGGTTTAATGTTGAAGCTTATTTTGCTCGATAAATGGTTCCAGGTTCTTGTATCCCGGGTCTGGTGGTCTGCTTGCTTAACTTTCAGTTGCTTTGATGAAGATTGTACCAATCTTTGCACCAAGTTTCTTGGTAAAATTATGGCACGAATTTACTGCTATAATTGATACTTGTGAATGTAATGCGAATTCTATAATGACATGAGAGGCGTACAAGAGTAGGATCTAGTATTGCATATTTACCTGAGTCCTTGCAATCAACATGCTGAGTTATTTTCTCTGTAACCAACATGTGTTAAGGAATTTCACATCCTTATTAATAATTTTGTAAAATGTTTTTGCAAGATACGTTGTCCCTTGAGCCAATTTGGCTACTGAATTGACAATATTTGATTAATTTGAAACAGTGGCTATGTTGAGTTTGTTTCTTTCCAGGGATATTCTCGCAAATTTGTTTTGTTGCAGCAACTTCTGTGAAACTCATGATTTTCACCCATATCACTCAAAACAAAAAATGCTTGGGAGGACCAACCTCTCTATTTCTCTCTATTTGATAAAAACTATTTAAGAATCTTGTGGAAGAATTCAAGGTGAGTTTGTATACAATATGAGAAATATATAAATAAGAGTTTTATAAATTTAATACTTAAAATTGTAGATCCTTAAATAAAAAATATTCCTAGTAACCACTTTGTCAAATATAGCATAAAGTAGATTATATATCGTAAATCCTTGTAAAAAAAATCTTTTAAATAAAACAAATTGTATTGAACGAGAATACAAATAAGCGTTATTATTAATCTACAATAATAAAGATAAATATTTAATATAAAAAAATTGATTTTTTATTATGTATTATATAAAAACTTTACAATACTCTAAAATTAAAAAAGAGTTATTAAATTTGAAATTTTTTAAATTGATAACTATATAAGTGTAAATTGACGTGATATTTATAATTCTTTAATTAATAAGAATTATTAAAATTTGAAAATTTTTAAATTGATAACTATATAAGAGTAAATTGTTGAGATATTTATAATCCTTTAATTAATCATTTATTATATGAAATTTTAGTTTTTAATTATGAAATCTTAAAGTATGTTTGATTATTATTTTTAAAAATAAATTTTAATTTTTGAGTTTTAAAAATTAAAAAAATTGTGACTATTTAAAAAAATCTTATTTTTAGTTTTAAAAGCTAAAAAAAAATCAAAATTAATAATAAAAAGTGTTTTTATTTTATTTTTTCATTAATGAATATCAATATATTTTTTCAATAATTATATTAACTCACTCATTTTCATAATTACAAAACTAACAAAGTTATTTTCAAACATTCGTCTCAATTTTTCATTGTAATCTATTTATATCATTCTTTTTTTTTTTTGCTAAAATAGTTTTAAAAAGTTGAATAATCCAACAGTTTTTTTTCACAAATATAATTTATTAAAGATGATCTAAAAAAAATTAAAATCTAAATCAACACAATCATTAATGTTCATGTATTATAAAAAAAAATGTGAAGAATATTTTTTTTAATTTCTTTTTATTTCAAAGTAGAATAACTCCAGTAATACATGAACCAAAGAAGAGAAAATGGTAAGTTTAAAAGTAAATGTGAAGAGAGTGAAAGTAGAACCATATGTTTAGAAGATATTGGTTGTTGTGTGGAACCTATCGGGAAGGTAGCTTGGGTAAAGTTAAAGCACCTTCGCCATTCAACGCCTCTCTCTGATCGTGATGCTGGTGTTGACAGATACAGACACCTTTGGTCTCGTGCCCATGAATCTGCCAAACTAACAATTCTTAAATAAACCCTACCATGAATGAGGTTAAAACATGATGTCATATCATATATTTGTTAATGTAACTACAATAATAATGGAATGGACCAAAAGTGTAAACAAAATAATAAACCAGATCCACGTATCTTTTACTTTTCAAATGCCAAACTAAGTCCACAGCAAGTCAATTGTTTGGACCTGGCATGGGATCATGGGACATCAGTACACGCTTTAGTCAATGACTTGGTCGTCAAGAATATCTTTCAACAACACGTGTGAGCTTTTTCTTTTGACTACTTCTTGGATTTCAAATCATGCCTAATATTATTCTTGCCCACTCCATCATTTTTTCTTTCCCAAACTAAAAATAACTCTTCATTTTCATTTTCCTTGTTTTTAATGACATTAATACATTAAACACTGAATTTTTTTAATATACGCAAATTAATTTCCCTTATAAAAAAATTAATACATTCTTATTTTCTTTTTGTATATACTTATAACAACTTTTCATAGTTTTTATTATTTTAATTAATCAATTATAATATTCTTAATACTTAAATATATATATATATATATATATATATATATATTTAAAATTAAATTTGAATTAGATTAAACTACATTTTTTAAATAAAAATGTGTCACAAAAGTTTATAAATATTCAAATTTTGATGGTTTTATTTTGAATATAAAATAAATTGTGATCATGTTATGTTGAATGTAAATAATTTATGTTAAAAGGACATATTATATGTATTCTGATTTTTTAATATTTTTTAGTGTTTTATTTTCATGTATGTTGTATAATGTTTTAATTTTTTTTTATATTTCTTATACTGTTTTGTTTCCATCTCAGTTATGTTTTACCGTGACTTTGTCTTCAAAATAATATAAATGGATTAAGAATTATATATAAATTGTTACAAACAGTGAAGGGCTGTTTTTCTTTCGTGTATAATATATCAAATTCAAATAGGATAACACCTTACTATTAATTATTATATTTATTATTTTTTTAATATTATCTTTTTAAAATCTAGATTCGATCTAATTTTATTTTAAAAAAAATTAATCTAGGATTAATTCTTATATTTAATTTATTAGATGTTTTAAAGTTTTTTTTGTCATAATTTTATTTAATACGCTTATGAGTATCATATTATTTAAGAGTCGAGGTTAAAAGTTATTTATATATATATATATATATATATATATATATATATATATATATATATCTTCATTTTTAAGCAACCGATATATCTATAAAAAAATAAAATCGTGATGCACAAGAACTCCAAAATAAAAAATATCATCTACGTAAAAATTGACTTAACTCTTCATGTATAACAAAGATGAGATTAAAATATTTCGTACAAGACAAATAATTTTAATAAATTAAAAAAATTAGAATATGAATTATTAATAATTTACATGAGACTTTTGTAATAAAATAAAGGGATAAGTATATTTCTAGTCTTATACTTTTATGTGAAATTGAAAATAGTCTATCTCGTCATAATTCACATAAAAATGATCCATATACTTTTGAAATGATTGAAATATGTACCTATTTTAAACGGCGTTAAGTATATGTTTACCTATTTAACGAAATAGTATGACTCATTCATTATTTGACACGTATAATTTTTTAAATAAATAAAATTAAAATGTCTCAAACTTTTAAAAGTCATTTAGATATGCATTTATAACATTTAAAAGTCATTTCAAAAGAAATTTAAAATTCTCTATCTATAAGCCATTTAAATCCAAATTTAAAGCATTTAAAATTCATTTAAGAATGAATCTATGTCCAGATCATTCATTTTGAATTTAAATATAATTTATCTTTAATAAATTAGATTTTGCATTCTTTAAACATGGAGTGTACCATACATGTTCATGCACATACACGTACCATTCAAATACATTTTCATGCATTTAACATGTTTATTTTTTAATGTCCACCTACAACATCCAGAATCATGTTTCAATCTTATCCCACATTCAACCAAGTGGAGGGAAACAAGGAAAATATGTAATTTAATATAAAAACTTGTCCACATAAAATACTACAATAAAGTTGAACCAAACTATTTTTAAGTAATACATAAAAGAAGTGGATCACAATTGTTGACTATAACTGAAGCAAAAGTACAAAATAATGAACCACTTTATATTACAAAAGTAGTATGGACCGTTTTATATTATAATACCCAAGCAATTTACATTACAAAACTCATTAAATTTCATGTGGACTAGGCAGTGGGGTTGTTGGACTGACTTGTGAGCTTAATGTTGGTGGTCTCCCTCTCCTTCTTGGTGCTGAAAGATTGGTGGTAGATTTGGGTTGCCTCTTATCCACTAGTTCAACAATTGTAGTGTCTGCAGATGTAACTGGTCTTTTTCTGGAAGATGCAGATTTGGTTTTCCCCTATATTTGAAGAACAAGAAATCTTCATTAGTGACAAAAAAAAAAATCGGAACAGGTAACTGTAAATGGACAGATCTAGCACAAATCTATCTTACCCGTGTGGTTTTCTTTGGTTGATTTTTGCATCCTCTTATGTTATGACCAAACTGTCACACCTAGTACACTTTATCTTTACTTTCTTCTGCATAATTTGCTAACTCAATTGCATCCTTGTCCAAACTAAAGAGTTTTAAATCCTTATCCAGGGTTCCCATACTCGGTTTCCACCATAACTTAAATTGACCAACATATTTAAACTCATTTACAATGCCCACATCTTCAAAATAAGACCACATATCTAAGTGAACATTACATATCCTATGTTTCTCCCCACCCTCATAACGCAAATTTTTCAACCTCATAAATTTACCCATGTGGTGAAATGTTATAGAGAAACTCATTGTAATCCTACAATATAAAAAATTGATTCAAACAATGTACGAGAAAAACCCTCCAAATGCATACATTAGAACACAAAATAAACATTTAGTTCCGCAAATGAAAAAAACATACCTTAATTTTTGGAAATGAAAACCCTAGTTATGGTATACCACCGTCGCACACTGTCATTGTGCATCACCGTCGCACTGCCAGTCAAATCATAATGAACCGATGGAACCCTCGAACTTCAAAGTCACTTTGATTTTATATAACCTTTACAGAAAAAGGAGAAGAAAGAAAATATCTTTGGTGTGTGACTAGAAAAGAAGAGAGAACGAAAAATAGCTGTGACGAAAAAAGAATAGAGAATGAAAAGTGGTTGTGACGAAAACTGAAGAGCTTTAGTGCGTGAGAAGAAAAGAAAAACTTTTACTTTTTAATTTTATTTTTTTGTTTTTGTTTTAAATAATAATATCTCGTTGAATAATTTCTATTTTTTTTTAAGAAGAGCTTTGTTTTTTTTTTTAATAATTACACGTGTCAAATAATGAATGAGTCATACTATCTCTATTAGACAAGTCACCATATATTTAACATCGTTTTAAATAATGACTTATTTCAATTATTTCAAAAATATAGGGATGATTTTTATGTAAACTTTGACCGAAGAACTATTTTTCAATTTTACATAAAAGTACATTGACTCAAAACAACCCTAAAATAAAATATAAGATCTTACTTACAATTAATACCAATATTTTAACCTCAATTTTATTATAATAATTAATGGTTAAATATGAAATATTATATATTTTAAAAGAAACTTAGAAACACTTTGATAACTTTATTAATAAATAAAAAATTTACATAGTTAATGAGTTAAAATAATTTCATATAGAACTCGTAAAAGTAATAAAAAAAAATCATGAATTTTACCTGTACACAGCAATTATAATGGGATGATGGTATAGAATTTGTTAAGTAAATTAAAATGTGGTCGTTATAATTTATAAGTTTAATTTGATAATTTATTTCCACGATAATCACAACAAGGTAGCGGTGAAAAATTGTGTGACGACGCTGTGAGAGTCCCACCATCACCTTAGAAACAGGTACACTTTCCTAGAAACTTCAGAAGTTACAGAAGCAAAGGTTTGTTTTTGTAAATTAATATTATTAATATTTATATATTAATAAATACCACCCTTAAGTTCTATTGCTGTGTCTCTGGTCACTCTCTGTCACAAAACCTAGGTTCCTCTCTCACTCTCACTTTTATTCATTCATTCCTTCGTTCTTCGACCTTATAATCTATATTATCCAAAAATACTGGGACTAGAGTCACTCTTGTCTTGTTTAGATCTCTGAATTTTATTCCATCTTAATTTTTACTTGATCTGTTCTTGTTCTATCTTTTGAGTGGTACAAGAAGGTTCAGCTTTGTCAAAGATTCTTGTCTGCTATAGCTTTCATTAATTGCTAAGCACTTTAGAAACTAGATCTCTGTGGCAAGTAAGTTTTTGTGTTCGAAGTCTACTCTTTCCTACCAGCATGCTCAACACAGATTCCCTTTTAGATCATTTTCCTGGTTCCATCAATGGTTTCATATTTGAAAACGGTCCTGTCTCGGTGTTTGTGAATCAGGCAAATGAGTTCAAGTTTGATGATTCAATTTCCCCTGCAGAATCTGCATCTGATTCTGCTCCCTCTTCTGGGACAGGTTCTAATGGAGAACATGCAGAGAGTACTAAACACTCCAATCCTATTCTCAGGTACATAAGTGATATTCTCATGGATGAAGAGGATAATTTAGAGCGCAAACCCTGCATGTTGCAGGATTGTTTGAGACTCCAGGCTGCTGAAAAATCATTCTATGATGCGTTGATTCATAGCCACCCTTCATCACCTCATCAGTTTAATGATAACCCCGACCCAGATGATAATTTTGGTCGAACCACTAGTTCTGAGAGTTATAGCAGTAATACCACTGATAATTCATGTGAGTCTGATTGGTTTAACGGTGCTGGTGATTTTGAGTCTGCTTTCCTACAAAGATCTCTGCATAACTCCCCTGACCATGTTTATGTTGTTCCTGATCTGATTAGAGAGGCGCACGCTGGGGTCCATGTCTCAAATGGAGCCTGGAATTTGATTCACTCGCAGAACAAGCCAGGCGTGATTGAAGAGGGCGTGACGAGGACAGTCAAAGGATCAAGGGAGAAGAGGAGCCATCTCATGAATGATGTCTCACATGAAGAGGAGGAGAGAAGAAATAAGCTTTCAGCTGTCTTTTCTGATGATTCGGAGCCATCCAGCCTGTTCGATGAGGTGCTGCTTTGCAAGGATGGCAAGAGTCCAGCCATTTTTAAGTCCGAGTCTGGAGGATCTAATGGAAAGACAACACGTTCGAAGAAAGGTTCCAACAAGGGAACAAGTGCAAGAACAACGGTGGATTTATGGACTTTGCTATCTCAATGCGCACAAGCTGTGGCTAGCTTTGACCCAAGGACTGCAAATGAAATACTCAAGCAGATTAGGCAGCACTCTTCACCTTTGGGCGATGGACTTCAGCGTTTGGCTCACTACTTTGCCGATGGCCTCGAGACAAGGTTAGCTGCTGGGACACCAACGTTCATGCTCTTGCAGTCACCATCTGCTGCAGATATGTTAAAAGCTTACCGAGTGTATGTCACAGCAGCACCATTTCACAGGATGTCGAATTTCTTGGCTAACCGTACTATTTTGAAGTTATCACAAAGTGAAAGCAGTGTTCACATTATTGACTTTGGGATTAGCTATGGTTTCCAGTGGCCGTGCCTCATCCAACGGCTTTCAGAGAGGGCAGGTGGTCCTCCGAGGCTTCGGATAACAGGAATCGATCTTCCTCAGCCAGGATTTAGGCCAGCAGAAAGGGTTGAGGAGACGGGGCGGCGTCTAGAGAAGTACTGCAAGAGGTTTGGAGTCCCATTTGACTACAATTGCCTTGCTCAGAAATGGGAAACTGTAAGACTTGAGGACCTCAAACTTGATAGGAGTGAAGTAACCGTGGTTAACTGTTTGTACAGATTGAAGAACCTGTCTGATGAAACTGTGACTGCAAACTGTCCAAGAGATGCTGTGTTGAGGTTGATCAGGAGGATCAATCCAACCATCTTCATGCATGGGGTTGTCAATGGCACCTACAATGCACCATTTTTCCTGACAAGGTTCAGGGAAGCACTTTTCCACTTCTCAGCATTGTTTGATTTGTTTGAAGCTAACGTGCCTCGGGAAGATCCATCCAGGCTTATGTTTGAGAAAGGGTTGTTTGGAATGGACGCAATCAATGTCATAGCATGTGAGGGGGCAGAGAGGGTTGAAAGGCCAGAGACCTACAAGCAATGGCAAGTTAGGAACCAGAGAGCAAGGTTCAAACAACTTCCATTGGCCACAGAGCTCGTGGATAGAGTGAAGAAAATGGTGAAGAAGGAATATCATAAAGATTTTACTGTTGATGAGAATGGCAAGTGGGTTTTGCAAGGATGGAAAGGACGTATTCTATTTGCAATTTCTTCTTGGGTTCCTGCTTGAGGAATGACCAACTCCTAACCCATTCATCGCCATGGAAAATTGTTTTTAGTGTAAGTCAATTTTTGCTGTTTATCCTTGAATAAAAGGAAATCATGATCTTATTTTATTTCAACTTGAATAGTGTAAATACAGTCACATGTGCACTTTATGAACAAGCTTAGAAGACAATCATCCCTGAAATCCTCTATTGGAGAAGGATATCTAATATCTACATTAATATACTGTTTTATCAGATGTCTGTGAATTTCATACGTGAAATCTTCATCCGAAAGTGACAAAACATGCCTATTAAGATAATCACCTTCTAACAATTTCAACAAACTACGTCTTTTAATTCATGATGCTGTCAAATGAATAAAATTTTTTACAATGAAAAAAAGAAACTAGTTTTTCTTTGTTCATTCTTTGATTGCGGTTTGTGACAACAGTTCTCTTGCATGTGCTGCTTTACGCTAATTCATAATTATCTTTGTTGTCTTCAGTATCTTTCATCAACTTGTATTGAAATCGATCTTCAATTCAATGATTGTTTACTTGTGTTGAAATCGATTCAATTCTATGATTGCTTTTCTTTAACTGCAACTCTAGTTCGAATATCTCCCAAATGTTCGAATAACATTTTCCAAAAATAATCCTTTTCAATCATTTTAAAGTTTCACTAACTAAAATAATGTTAATACATAATTTCTACATGTACATGTGTAATCTGAAATATTAAAATCAAATGGGCATTAGATTCACATAGTTTAAACTGTTACAGAAATATCAAAATGCAAATATATATTTTCTTATTAATTAGATAGAAGTCACAGAATTGTTAGATTTCGAGTCTGATTTCAAAAGGTGGATTGAAATTTGTAAACTAAAAGATATTACTAAATGATTATCAATAGGAGATAATAGAGTGTTACATAGCAATATTGGAAGCCATCATTTTTCATTGTATGCAAGTTTTTTTTAAATAGTAATAAAAGCTTGTGATAAATAATATGAAAAACAAAAACAAAAAACAAGATAAGAAGAAACAAAGAGAGGTAAAAGGCCTTGGAGATGAAGAAGATAATAAAAACAATTTAAAAAAATATAATTGAAGTAAAAGATGGAAGCCTTGGGAGATGCATGTCACTTGGAGAAAAAACTCATTTTAAGATAAGTGAAGTTGTAGAATTGTTAGGGATTCCAAGAAACAAAAGAAGATTCAAGAACTAAAAATCATTCTCATAAATGTTTCCTCTAAACTTAAATTCCATTATATCTAAAAGTAATTTTACAAAGTTTGAAGATGATTATTTATAGTTATTAAGTATGAAAATTCAAAGAAAAAGAGCTAAAAAAATTTATATAATATTATACACACAATTTTATGTATTACTGTTTATTTCGTGTGATATTAATGTAAAGTTCTTTCAAGAAAATTAATGTTTAATAATAAATATAACCTTTATTAATCATAATATAACTTTAATTAATTAAAATTATATATATATATATATATATATATATATATATATAATTCGCATTAAAAATATTAATATATGTGATGCATGACAATAATTTTATAAATTAGTGATGAAACATTCCTTAATTAATCTATAATTAATTCTTCACTAACAAATTTTGCAGCAAATTAACTATTTAATATTCCGTCTCTAAATTTAAGTAAATAATTAATGAAATATAGTTTGTATCTATTATGGAGCAAATTTTGCAATCGATCTCTCTAGATTTCTTTCTAATTGAAGTGACAAAATTGTATTTCTCCTTGACTAAATGGTTGCACGCATTTCTCCCTACATTGAGGCTAAATTATTGTAAATTTTTTTCGTTAATCAATAATTAATCCCTTGCAAAATATTTTATTATTATTTTATAGTTAATTTTTTACAATTTTTATCTTGTTAATCAATAATTATTCTCTCAAAAATGTGTTCTTATTAATCTATAATTATTCTTTCACAATTTTTGTCGTAAGTGGTTAATCTCTCATAAATTTTCACTCACTAATTAATAAATAATTTCTTACAAATATATTTTCGTTAATCTATAGTTCATCATTTACAATTTTTCTTTCACTAATCAATAATTAATCTCTTACTAATGTGATCTTATTAATATATAACTAATCTCTAACAACCTATACTCACTAATACGTAGTTAACCTCTCTCATAATTATTTTTAACAATTATCTAATATCAATTATGTTATTAAAAGGAGTATAGTACATGTGTACTTTTGAAATAATTAAATATAAAACTTTAAATAAAATATATGAAAAATACTAAAATTAATCAACTTTCAATATACAAAATATTTGTTAAAATACATTAAAAATAATCTTTCAAACATTTACAATATAACTAAAATAATGTATCAACCAAAAATTAATAAATCAACACAATTAGAATAAAAATAAAGATCTTAAAGCATATCTTCATTCTTGTTTCTTTAAACATACAATAACTCTTTATTAAAATATTACATCTTTTCTTGCTTTTGTTCTTGCATAATTATTTTCATTTTTCATTTTTCATTTGGACATTCAATTGTCCTTACAATGCTAGCAAGTGTGTTTTCACTTCACTTCCTCTTGTAGATTAGATATTTGTGTAGGAAGTTCATCACCTAATTCTCAAAAGCTTTGCATGTTTTCCATCATTTGAAACCCTAACAAGTTATAAATACAATATAAAACTTATTAAGGAGTAAAACAATTGAAAAATACAACAAGAAACAAGGCATAGTTTGCAACATGAAATTGGAAAAACAAAAAATACTTCAAAATCTTCCTTTTAAGGACTGGGAAAGTCAAATGCTTAACTAGACTAGTAATAATTAACGACATTCAATAATATTTGTCATATATTTGAGAAAGTATCATTGCTAATTACGACAATAAATATTTCTTACTTGAAATTTTAAATTACATCAATACTGAGAACTAATAAAGATAATTGATTATACTATTTTATAGTAGTAAGGTTTTACCACTTCTGATAACTCCAAAAATAAAAAGAAAAACTACATGACTCTAGTAATTTTAATTCCAACCATCACACACAAAGCAAATAAAAGAGCTTCAACATCTCATAATCCATCTTCAGAAATATTGGTTTCTTTCCTTGACTTTCGTACAACTCAGGACGAAATCCAAATAACCATACACAAATCAACAAAACCCTAACACACTCGACATCAAATTGCAAAAAAGAACACAAAAATAGAATAAAATCAAAACTTTCATTTGTATCTCGTACAAATTGAAAATTAAACAACACAACCAAAATTATAGAAGGAAATTGAAGATCTTAAACGAGTATTCATATTTACAATAAAAATTTATCAAAACCAGTATAATAAATAGAGCAAAACACAATTAAAGATCTAACGATGAAAGAAAAGAAAAGAAGGAAATTATCTTTTATAATGTCTGTGAAACTTGAACATGTCAATAAAGAAAAAAAAGGAAAAATATTAATTAGCATATATATTAATTTATAATAACTAAATATTTAAATATATGAATTGTATTATAACTAAAATTTGTAGCACAAAACTATTTTTTAATATATAAATTATTTTTTTGAAAGAGATAAGCAATTCAAATTTATGAAGTATAAGGATATATAAAATGAAAAATTTTAAATGCTACAAATAAATATAATATATATATATATATATATATATATATATATGAAAATTAAAAACACCTCTAATATATAAGATAAATATTTAAATTTAAAAAAAGTAGATTTAAACACTACAAGAAATTTTTCAACTAGTTAGAGAAATTTGTTAAGGAAATTATTTTTTACTATTTATAGCAATTTTGATAAAATGTTGAAGGATCAAATCGAAATTATTCCCTCACTAAATAAGAAAATAATTTAGCTAAGAATATTTTTTTATATAATTCCTAGCTATCAACAATAAAATATTTCAAAAGAAAAAATTATTTTTAACTTTGTGAAACTATTCCTGAACAAATTGTGTTGTATAATCACTTCTAAATTGTCACATACCAATAGTAAATTTATTATAAATAATAAATTAAAAAATATATAAATTTACTAAAGAATACATCTTAATAATTTTATAATAAATTTGTTAGAAATAATTTTTAAAATATCTTTCACAAACGCAAATCAACTTATATTTAAATATATTATTAATAATAATTTTTATAAATTAATTATTAAATTATATTGATTAAAATAAAAAAGGATATTTTTTACATATATTTTATTAGTAAATGTAAACCTTAAAATTCTAAATAACACAATTTTACATCAATTGAATCTCAACGTGTTAATTCATCAAGTATAACATCAAATTTTGAATCAAAATACTTTTTTTAATTAATCAAAGGTTTAAAGATATTTAGTTAATGAAAAATTTGACTTTAAGATAGAACAATTTACATAAATTGAATCTAAAGATATCAAAGTCATATTATATAATATTTTCAATTCTTAAAGACTTTTCATTTTATCTAAAATTATTATAATTATTCATACGAGACCTTCTTCACTAATTATTATTTTACCTAACGATATGTAAAACCGTCTCTAGACATATGTAGGAGATGACCATCCAAAATCTACATAAAATAGGTCAAACTTTTTAAATAGTTATATAATATTGTCATAAATAAGTTGACACTACTATTGTTTTACTTTTTCAAAGTAAAAATGATATATAATTGAAAAATACATTATTATTTTTACTATTAATTTTTATTAATATGTTATTTACATAGAGATGTGTTAAATGGTTAAATGAACTTTTACGATAATATATGAAGTATTAATATCTAATTAAGTTATGATAATAAATTTAAAAGTGTTCCATTTTCTTAACAATAAAAAATATAAATAAAAACTATTAGGTTTGCTTTGAATGTGTTTTTGTCGTGTGCGTCCCTCACTCGTGCCTCCACTTTGCCATCAAGGTTGTTGGTGCAACCAAGGTTGCGACCGCCGCTGCCGCTAAGGTCATCGCC